CTCGCTCACACACGGGTTTCCACTCCAGCATTGGTAGCTGAGCACAAGGAGCAGGTGAGAGCTCGGTGCGGGGCTTGGGCTTACTTCGGGAACTTCCTTCGGGACTCTCAGGATTTGCACGTTTCTGGGCGCCTATCTGGGAAATGGTCTGCGGGGTGCCTACCGAGGTCTTAAACCGCTTACGGGTCATGGGCACTACCTCGTCAGTGGCACATACCTCACCTGGTCTGTTGCACAGCAACTGCGTCGCCACATGACGGGCGAACCCTTGGCAAAACGTTCCGGCAAATCGTGACAGCGGCTGCCCTTTCAAACTTCGGCCTGCTAGCCTATGGTGTTCATGGTCCTCAGTACACATCTTCTGGGCGAAACTCTTAGTGAGCTCACGACAGGTGCTGAAGATCACAGTTCGCTTGCGAATGGGCACGCCACTTACAGGTGTCCGAAGTCCAAAGGAACACATGTCGACTGTTGACCGAAAGGCTTCCTTGATGACTTCCTTAAGCTCAGGGACTTCTTCAATTCGGGAACGCTCTGAAATTTCTACATGTAAATGTCGATGATGTCGTTTCTGCCAATCTAGCAATTGCTTGACTACCTTCAGCATCCCCTGGTCTTCTGCACGATGAGCTGCAACACGCTGGTGGCTTTGGGTGCTACGGGCTGCATTTAAAGATGACCAGCTACACCAGTTTCGCATATCAGGTGCAACCCAGATATGGCGAGGCTGCAGCTGCTGCACCAAATCCCACAGCTCCTGTTGTTGGGCTCCTGTCGTCAGGTGCCCCCTTTGCAGATTGTATCTCCTAGCTTTACCCCCATGATCTTGGATTACTTGGGTTAAACGACTATCCGGATCATTGGTAACTTCCAACAGGTCTATACCTGGCTCACCCGGGGTACTAAGCATCAGCTGGGATTCTTGAAGGGCCTGTTCTGCTTTGCATAGGGCATCCTGACAGGCTGCGGCTGCAGACTGCACAGCGGATACACATGAAGGCTCAGCCAGAACAGCAGTTGCCGCCGTGAGGGTCTGTCGCATCTCCGATGGCGGGAAGGACTCTGGCACATTAAGACCTAGTCCCTTGCTGGAAGAGAGATCAGCTTTTAGACTGGGAAGAACAAACCCATGCTTACGCAACCACAGGGTATCAACCGTTGAAAGCTTATTCGCATACTTCAAGGCATACCCTACTTCAAGAAGACGATCTCCTTCCCACGCGGTGGTCGCATGTAGCGTATGGGGATGTATGAAGACAGCTCCTTTTTTCAAGCTTACTAGATGTCCCTCTTTTCGCTCGCCATTACACTCCATTTCAACCACTGCTTGCTGAGGGCTAGATGGGGGTAGATTCACCCAAATAGCGCCTCCTTTACGGGGAGCTTGCAGAGGAACAACTAGGTTGTTAATCAGCGGATCATTGTACTTATCACGGTGGGGAAGCGCACTTGCATTGCAGGACACCCCAATTGATGTGAACCGGTGCTTCACATTAGTCAAACGGAGGACTCTACACAGCAATCTGGTCAACCAAGGATGTCTTTTCGTAACATTAGTGACGCCAACTATTCCACCATGCATGTACATTCCGAAACACAAATAGGCAGTCGGCTTGGCACTTTCCTGGGATGGCTTCTCAATTTGTGTCCTCAGATCCCGAGAGCCCTGAAGCTGATGCCAAGGAACTGTTCTTAGGAACCTGAGACACTCATCAAGAGAAGGTTTCCTATGGTATAGCTCCTGCGCTTGGACATCTACCCGAAGACGATCAACCAAAGCTTTCTTAAGGGTGCACGGCTCGGGCTGCTCGGATCTGACTAAGCTCACGCGCTCTGCTGGGCTCCTGAGATCTGCTGGATGGCTCCCAGCACTTGTTGCATGACATGCTCCATTTGAGTCATGCGGCTGGCCAAGGAGCTCACTTGGCTGTCGAGCGGCGGTTCCTCGCCCTCGATTGCAGACACCATGTCCCACTGGTCGGGACTCACGCGATCGGCCCCGGGAGCCCGAACTTTCTTGGGCGACGCCCTGGGCTTGGGACGTGCTGTCGGTGGCGCAGCTTCGGGCTCGGTGCCCTCGAAATCCTGACAGAGAGCAGCTTCGAGCTGTTCCGCATGGACGGTATATTTTTCCACATAGAGGAGAAAAGCCTGATGGCAGTGCTTGGGACTGGAGGACATGTGCTCGCACATCCATTTCGTCCAGTCCGGCTCGTTTTCCACGACAGACTCGTAAGTCCGCCCCTTCATGGCACGTCCGAAATTGATCGTGAGCTTCCCCAGCTCTGGCAGCGACATGTTGGCTATGTCGGCCAAGCTGTACTTCAGAGTTGGGTCCGACAACCTGGCGAATCGGGCACCAAGGCTGAGCTGCTGCTCTTTGGGCTCGGAAGGGACGGCCATGGTGCCTAGCACAAGATGAAGTGGCAGGTGTTGGAACTTCAACCTGATCTTTGACACAGTCAGTGGCTGCTGGGCATGACAAAAAGGTCTCATCCAAAAGCATGGTGCACGCAGAAGACGACTTCGGCTCCTGCGGTGAATCATTATCGGTCTCCGGATATTTACGGAAACTAGTTGTCTCTGAATTCCCAACCTCATCAGAACTTCCAGCTTTACAGAACTCTATACACCCGGGGGCTGCAACACTGGGTTGTGAGGATTGGCTCATAAAGGCATGCTTGCGGGAGGGAGTGCAAGTTGGTTCAGGGTAGCGATCATCACAAGTGGTAGCACCGGAATGCACAGTCACAGTCTGGCACTGCTGCTCCTGACCACTTTCCTCGCACAGGCGGGCAAGGTCCACGAGGTAAAGGCCGGTGGGGCCAGTACGCAAATGCAGGCTCTTCTGCAGACGCGTCAGATGGCACACATCCTCGTTGGTGTCTATGACCCCGCCTAACTGTTTAATCGCTTTCTTGCTCCATAGGAGAGGTGTTCCACCTGGGACAATCTCAATCGACAGCCACAAAATCTGCTGATGCCCTTGATTAAACGGTAGAAGGATTCGCTGCTCACTTATCAGTGTCTGGTTATTCCCAAACCTGAACTTAACAGCGCTCTTTACAACCTTCACCAAAGCACGTGTGGCATCACTCAGCTGGCTAATGAACTTAGGGAGCAAGCGCTTTCCCATGACACATCGACTAGCCCCAGTATCTAGGATAGCCTCAACATTATCTGTGCATACCATTGCTGTGTCACAGTCGTTCTTGACGGTCCTAGCGCTTGCCCTTGACCTTTGAACCCAGGCAGTTGGGGGCCGCTTCAGCATCACATGTTCAGTCCATGAACCCTGTCCAGAGCTGTGCGGCCTGGTGGCGGTGGCATTCAGGGCTTCACGGCGAGATTTAAGGTTCTGAACCACCCCCTTTAATCCCCTTAACACCCCTATCTGCACATGGGAGCTTTCAGCGAAATGGGCCTCGTCCAGGGAGATGGCTTCCTCAGGCACACTGGTGTGCACCTCAGACGCGGTGTCGTCTGTTGTGATCGTCGTCGTCGCGAAAGTCTCCTCGACTTCGGCCACTGTGGTGGTGGCTTCTCCCTTTTGGCTCATGGATCCCGGGCGGCCGTACTTTGGACACTCGGCTTTCCAGTGTCCTCGCTCGCCGCACGCTCTACACGTGCTCCGGGCTATGCGTGCCAGCAGCTGATCACGCCCTGGCTTTCCCTTGCCCTTTCCCTTGAAGCCGCGGCCTCCTTTAGATCCCTTGCCAGTGCTGCCCACTGGCCAGAATCCCCGAGACTTCTTTTTCTGGAGCAAGCGAGTACGGGCCTCCAAGTAACTCACCAGGGCCTCTTGCAATTCAGGAGTCTCCTGAAAGAAGCCTTCGAGCTCCTCCTCGAAGGACTGTACTTGAAGAGCATCCTGGTCATCATGAGCAACCATGGCCTCGATGAACTCGGAGTCGAGCTCCTGGTCTGCCTCCTCGGGCAGCACGGGACTGGTAGCCTGAAAAGCTCGCTCAGGCTCGTCCTGCGAAACCTCATCCAGGGCATTGGCATCATAGGTTTTGCTTTTTGCATTGCTCCTTTGACCCTGCAAGTCAGCGAAGAATCGGGAGCCCAAGAGCCGAATGGCAGAGCACACTTTATCATACTCCAAAGTTCCACCCATCTCCACCACGATCTTCTTCCTGTCTTCCGAGGTGAGCTGGGACTGTCGGAGCAA